TAATAAAATGTGCCTGTTACTACAGTACTCTTTAGCAGGCTACGGAACAGTAGAAAAGAAATTGAAGATTACATTCTGTTTCTGTTTTGTGGTGTTTTCCCTCATACACAGTATAGAGGAGGTTTCAGTAAAAATAGTATTTTTAAAAAAACAACAACAACAACCTGTAGCTCTACTAAAAATTGTTCTCGGGACAAGATGACCCTAATCCAATTGTGTGTGTTACAAATAAACTTCAGTCCCAATGATAATCCATTGGGGGAGGAGGAAGTATGAACAGGGTAATCTCAATCCCCCTCTCCTACTTCCCTCATCCTAAATGGCCAATCAGTGCAGTATCAGTATAGGCTTTATTGTATTTAGCCATAGGCCATTAAAAACCCAAAACAGAGAAAAATACTATAAAACATAGATAATTATATAAAATAGAGTACAGTCTAAAATATTATAAAACCATAAAACCGAAGTTATGAACGGTTAATTAAATCACAGCATACCCACTAAGATAAATATTAACTAGTACCCCTGAGAACAACGTTGGCTCGTATTTTCTTTGCAGCCAAGGCAAATAGAGCCATACTATAGGATACATTGACATTGGAATCAGCTAACAAAAATACAATCTTCTCAGGGTCTGAATAAAAGCTTAAAACTGATAAAATACCAAAGAGAAATTTTAGCCTAGGTTGGGTATACAATGAGCAATCAAGGATGTAATGGGAAAGATCCTCAATAACGGAAGAGCCACAAATACATAAGCACTGTTCCTTAGGTGCTACTATAGCAGCCAGCTAATACGGCCGTTTGCATTGATTCAAAGCGCAATGATGTGAAAGCTGCTCTAAGGTTATGGTTATCTATATTAGCCAGGTAGAGTGATCTAAAATGGTCATTCTTAAATTATTTGAACCGGGTTGCAGACTGTGATTTTAAAATTAAGTGTCTATCTAATAAAGCATCCTGCTTAAATACCCATTCTCTAAGGTCTGAATTGTTTGTTGAAGAACTAAGAAGGTCGTCAGGGATGGAGTTTCTTAACAATAAATTATTAAGAAAACAGGAACGATCTGAATCTTTGGAAAGCATTGACTTAAAAGCCAGTTGGCTAAAAGAGTCAGTACTAGCAGCTCTGATTTTCTTCCAAGATTTTAGAATCACAAGATACACCCACGAGCCAATCAGTGCAAATGTGGCTTATTTGAAAGGACTCCAGTGCACACAGATGTACTGGATTCGACTGTTTGCACAAGTAATTCTTCATCCAGCTAAAGACATGGGATTCTGCTTTTGGACTCCAGCTGAAATAGGGACACCTTGTTTTGTCTTATTGAATTGTAGATTGAGATAGGTAACTGTAGAAGTGCAAAAGCACCAGACTCCAAGAGTAAGAGTCCAGTAGCACCTTAAAGACTAACAAAATTTTGTAGTACAGTATGAGCTTTTGTGAGTTACTGCTCACTTCTTCAGAATGAGCTGCTGAGTGCTGACTTTGAATGAGCTACTGACTTTCAGAGTAGCATTGATTCATTGTGGCTATGTTGATTGGGTTCATCAGCCTATGACCTTGGTTGTAAAAAGAACATTATTCTTAATTTGGAATGTTGGGCTTTACTTTTAGAATTCCTTTTTTTTGTTATAGATTTGGATTTGCCTTTATACTTTGTCAGCTTATCCCTTTATATGTCCTTTCTTCAATGCCAGTCCTACAAGGATTTATAAATGGTCTTATTTCAATGAAACTTGCAATGAGTCTTATAGATCTCTCTCTCTCTCTCTCTCTCTCTCTCTCTCTCTCTGTGTGTGTGTGTGTGTGTGTGTATCAGTGTTCCCTCTAAGCTGAGTTAGTGTGAGCTAGCTCACAGTTTTTTAGCCTCTGGCTCACACATTTTTGTCTCCGCTCAGGAAGGATGGCTCCAGAGCCAACTAATTTATGCAGTAGCCAAGTTGCTCACTCACAACTTTAATGCCAGTAGCCCACAAAGTAGAATTTT